GATCATCCACATCGATAGAAAGTATTCCGAAATTAGGAAAAACAGGTCTTGTTTCAAACCGGGTGAGAATAGCCTACGGTCGCAAGTCTCACCTGGGGTGACAGGTCGATCGTATTTCTATTCTCACCCCGGATGAGAATAGCCACTTCCTTTATTATTCTCTTGAGCTATACTACCACTCTGGCACGAAGGGACAATTTGAAAGGGTGGGCCTACGGTACTATGGTAACTATGTTCCATGGTCTAAATCTCTAGATAGTTTTGTTGGGAGGACTTCCGTAACGAGCGACCACTAGAATCTATGAGACAGCAGAATTGAGGGCTTGGGGTAGGGGTAAAGGTAGGGTTAGGGGTAGGGGTAAGGGTAGGGGTAGGGTTAGGGGTAGGGTTAGGATTAGGGTTAGGTCTAGGCCTCTTCTTTATTGTGTTTGATGGGGTGGTCGCTTGATACGGAAGTCCTTCCGTTTTGTCCTTGGTATTTAGTTTAAAAAGTAGCGCAGTGTCACGGCTAACGCCAGCGGTCTGCTGAAATGATGAAATGAAGAGCTGCGCTGCAGAACAATGCACCATCATTTCTAGCTTATTAAGGATAACAATTGAATTGAAGGTATGCGGCTTACCAATTTGTACTTTTGACATCCTGTACAAAGAGGGGAAATCCCAAATGTTGAGGAACCTGCGGGTAAATGAAATGTTGAAGACGAGGAAGCTCCATTTCCATTCACTGGCACTGATGCAGGCGTCAATACTGACTCAAATTCAGTGTCAAAGTTCAAAGCCGGGAATTCGGAGGAGTCAAATGAGTCCATTTTTTATTTCCATATGTAAATTTATCCTGCTATTACAGTAAAACCTTTCTTTCTCCACAAAATCGATAGATCCACCAGTGACACGATCATTATTATTGTTTGTATACTCTTCCTTCACCGCCGCAGGTACAACGTGAAGGATATGACGCATGTTTTTAAGTTAACCTAAAAAATAGAATGTAAAATTTAAACGAATCACAACACTTTGGTAAGACTAGGAATGGAAAGAGAAAATTTTGCGAAAGAAATCTTATTCATAAAATTATTATTATTATTAATAATAATAATAGTCTTAAGATTAAGAGGTAATCGAAGTACATTTTAGTAACAACAACAGATGCAACAACAACAACAATAATGATGATGATGATGATGATGATGATGATGATGA